CCTCTTGCTGAAATAATCTGGAGGTGTTTGATGTGTAGGCTCTGTGCTTACGGCATCCTTTCTTGCATGTACTTGGGGAAGGAGAGGAAGAACAAGGAATGCTGAAAATATAGGTCATTGATTCCAAGATTTCAGCAACCGCCTTTTTCCTGTCCTACAGTTCAACAACAACAAGCGTCAGAACTTTGGAGTGAAAAAGTGTTAATTGCATTTGTGAACTAACTTTGCGGCCTTCTGCATTCCTTCTTCTGGCAACCCCAGAGGAGTAGTCTATTTGCCCAGGAATGTTCCCTGTCATCGCTTAACAAACACATTCATGGCATGGATCCCCCTGGCTCTGTGATACAACTCAGGTCTTTCAAGAAAAGGCTAGAGAAGCTGTCTTAGTGATGCTTTAGAGACAGATTAAGGGTATCTCAAGTTCCAACTGTAAAACTACATCCCCCCAAAAAGGTGTGTTTTGCAGAGAATGACACAGCAGCTAGGGACACAGAAGAAATTTGGTCTGGTTCACATTTCAATGTGAACTGATGTAATTTGCACTTCCCAAAATAATACATGAACCGGGAGTAAGGATATTCCTTGTGTACAGGAATATTCAGTGGTTTCCAAACTTCATGACACACTTTGAGGACTGATGTCTGTTGTGTCATATCTGTTACAGCAGTCAACAATTCCTGGCTTGCCTTGCTGGCTGAAGGAATGGAGGTCTTTCCTCTGACTTCATGCTACAACTCTGAAACACAGAGCATGATGTAATGGGGAAATATCTTGCTCCTCACTCCAGCTCTGAGCTTGAAGCTATGAAGTGCAGGGGCCAAAAACAGTTGCTGAAGCTCACAGTTCAAAAATGAAGAGGAGACAGAGGTTGCTGGCTTATGAGTGCAGCTGAAACTTAGAGTACCAGTTTGGTTCCAAGGCAAAGTGATGGGGCCTTCCTGTTCCGGGTCTGAGCTGGGAGATCCAGAAGCACAACGGCTTGCTCTGTCTCTGTGCCTGAAGGACACTCCTAGTTCAAAGAGCTGGACAGGAGAAGAAAAGCAAGCCTCTGCTTCTCGGTGCCAACGCAGTAGTGGAGGGGTTTTATGTGTCCTGCAAGCACAGAGCCTAAATGGACCCAAGGCTTCCACTGGAGTGGGGGTTCATTTCCTCTGCTCTTCAATTCTAGGCTTCAAGGGAGCCTCAGGCTCATGTGGTCACTTGCTAGAGCTCCTCGCTCTCAATGGGGGGGGCAAGTCAGGTCATTGAACCTTGATCCATAACAAAGGGGGGGCGGTCCTAGAAATATGCCAGTACTTTTTAGCCAAATAGCAGCAGCATTGTGAAAAGAGTTCAGATTTTATTGCAGACTGCAGTAAGAATAAAACGATCCAGAGGAATTCTCCAAATTCTGAGCTCAGGACACAATATTCAAGACACTTTTATAACATTCTCTTTACATGATTAGCTCATGAATGGACCCTTTCAGCAATATGATTGGATACCAGAACGCATGGACCGCTTGTGGACCCCTTATGCTCACTTCTAATTGGTTTACAAGAAGCACACTCCTATCCACTGGTGATACCATGGCAACAGTGAGCAAAGTTTAGAAATTTGCTATTCTTTGCTCTCATGATGTCAGGGAACTGCCATCAGAGCCTAGAGTGGAGGTAAGGCTCCCCAACGATGCAGGAGAAGGGACCAGCAGGGGGAGAGAGAACACTTCCTTTGAGGAAGGAAACAGGAGTGACACCAGGAAGCAAGGGGGAACTGCGGAGAGAGGGCTCCAAGACTCTTCCACAGAGACCAGCAGGGAGAGCACAGGACCTCCGTTGGGCACGCCCACTCTGCTCAGGAGACTTCCACGCAGGGAGGCGAGGAGGAGACTTGGCGTCAAAGAGTTTCTATGTTGGAAGAAATTCAGGAAACGCCCACTGACAGATTCTGCCAGCGACTCACACAGCCATGGAGAAAGGGCTGTCCAGCCAGGGAAAGGTTTAGCCAGGCTACGTTGCCTAGAACAGTAGCACCCTTTACGCACAAGCAACCCCCAACAACCTTTACACATACAAAATGTTGCTTTTCTGCTATCTGCTTACATTAAGTTGTTCGAATTAGTGTGAGTTACTGTTCTGGGGCTTAGTCTGCAAAGGTCAATGAGCTCTTGGCGTGTCTTGCTGAGCTGATAAGAAAATGAGAGGCCCTGCTTGCTCACAAAAAGACAGAAATGCATCTTCTATTCACGGGTGAGGGCTGCAGAGAGAAAAGAAAAATAGTTTTAAAACTACTTTACATCATTTTCCCTTTGGAGATGACAAAACAGAAAGTTATTTCTGAAATCTTCAATCTGGGATTAAATGAACAAATGTAATTGCATTAAGTGTGCAAAACAATTGCATTAAAAAGAGAGATATGCCTGTATTTCCAATACATTTCCAGTACAGTGGTACCTCGGGTTAAGTACCTAATTCGTTCCGGAGGTCCTTACTTAACCTGAAACTGTACTTAACCTGAAGCACCACTTTAGCTAATGGGGCCTCCTGCTGCTACCGCGCCGCTGGAGCACGATTTCTGTTCTCATCCTGAAGCAAAGTTCTTAACCCGAGGTACTATTTCTGGGTTAGCAGAGTCTGTAACCTGAAGCATATGTAACCTGAAGTGTATGTAACCCGAGGTACCACTGTACAGCACAATGGCACAGATACGTTGTGGCTGGGACTGTCTGAGAATGTGTTTATGCAGACTCAGCACTTATCAGGCTGAAGTCAGTTGTGCATCAGAAACATGTTCTGCGGCAGACGGGATGAGCATAGGTTTGTGTGCTGTGGGTTCTGACATGCTTCCTGGACCACGGCAGGCACCTGGGTTACAGGTCATGACACCCAGGTATCAAGAGTCTATCTGTCAGGGACTGGGCAGAGGAGGAATGGTAGAGACCGCCTCCCCAGCCTGACCCTTCCAGAGAAGAAGCAGACAGTTCAGAATTACAGCAGGGGTTTGAGGGAGATCACAGCTCAGAGGAAGACGAGGGGGAAAGTTGGGAAATTATGGGAGAGGAGGCGGCGGCAGAGCTGGAGCAGCTGGCTGACACATTATGACTAGAAAAAATTCCAGACCCACCATCTCCCAGAACCTGGTGAGCCTTAAAAGTAGGAGAGCAAAGGGTTCAGAAGCAAGGGACCCTCAGAGCCACCTGTAGAAGGGATGATGAATGAGAAAGTGGGAGAGAAGGGGAGGGGAGATTTACTCAGGGCAACGCCATTATTCCAAGAGGCCACCTTTCGAAGCCTCTCTCTCTATGAATATTGAATGAAAAGCCGTAGGTAAGAACTTTCCTTGTCTTATCTGTTCCTGGCAACCTACCATGGGGGTTGGATCCTCTGACGCCTGACACTAGCATACAATCCCTCAGCTGTGCAGAAGACTCTGAACCCTGTTGCAGGGCACACACTCAGTTCACGGAAGGCACTGTTGGCCCTCCTCCTCATCTCCTGTGAACAGGTGGCGTGTGTCCTTTAACATACCTAAAGCATTCATCAATGGTTGAGCATCACAGAGGAAGATCAGTTGTGGTTTGCAAACTGCCTTTCAGCTGCTGTTGTTGTTGAACATCTGATAAGCTACCAAAGACTTCTGGGATCCTCCGAAAACTCTTTGAAAATAGCTTGTACCTGATAATTTGATGGCATTTAATGGTCGGCAAACAATCATCGTTAACATCAGGTTGCGCTGGGTAACTCACATGCATTAGATCAGTGTTTCCCAACCGGTGTTCCGCAGCACACTAGTGTGCCGCGAGACGTTGCCTGGTGTGCCGTGGGAGGGAGGCGGGCGAGTCGGGCGGCGAGAGGCGGGGCGGCGGCGGCGAGGATCCGCGTCGAGCCGGGGGCAGCTCCGCGGTGGTGGTGCCGAGGTTTCTCTCTCCATTCTCCCCTCACACACACACACAGGAAATAGCACAGGATCAGCTGACAGGACCCGGCCAATGGGGCGGCGGCGGGGCAGCGCGCGCAAAAGGGAGGAGCGCGAGACAGCGGACGAGGAGGAGGCCGGCATGTCCGGGCAGCAGCAGCAACAACAGCAGCAGCAACTCCCGGCGACGGCTCCTCAAGCCCCGGGCAACCCTACTCCCTCACCGGCCTCGGCCGCCCTCCTGCTCCACCCGCCGCCGCCTCCCCCGCCGGCCACCTCGGCCCCGCCGCCGCCCCCTCCTCCGCCCGCTATCGCCGCCACCACCACAACAGCCGCCGCCGCCTCAGCTGGGCCCATGCCTGCCGGGAGCGGCGGCGGCAGCGGCGGCAGCAGCAGCAGCAGCGCCCCGGCGTCCTTCCCTCCCGGCGTGACGCTGCGCGCTGACGTCACGGGGCTGTAATGGTGGTGTGCCTCAAGATTTTTTTCATCAAACAAGTGTGCCTTTGCCCAAAAAAGGTTGGGAAACACTGCATTAGATATAGTGTCCAATAGCACCTGGTAGGTAAGTAACAACCATTAGTATTTGGGAGCTGGGAATTCAGTACTGAAGATGGCCCAAATCAAAATGATCAAGAGATACTGGCAAATGTAAACATTTCCCTTTTTGACATTTGATTTAGATATTTCAGAATAACAATATGAATGTGAATTTGCTTCGGAAAAGTTGCATTAAAAATATGAAGCTTAACAAAGTTAGAACATTTCAGATGTTTGCAAGTGAGAGGTGCAGCTCATTAAAAGGCATTACGTCAGAGAACATTGCTTGCAAAAAAAAATTTGCACATTATATACTAAATAAATATACTGAAATACTGACCAGTTTTTGTGAGGACATTTTTTAAAAAAGGAAACTGATGCATAAATGTGATGAACTGCACTTTAGGTTGGAAAAATGAGACACAGAGAGAAACCCAAATTGAGAGATCCATCCATCTGTTCATCCCTACCAACCAATCACAACAGCTGCCAACCCCCCCCCCCCCCCAGATATTGAGCTTTTCATTCCACATTTGCAATGAGATGAGTTCTTTCTTTCTCATTTACAGATTGAGACTAAACGGGTTACCAATGCGAGCATCGTGCTACAGATTGACAATGCTAAAATGGCCACTGAGGACTTCAGGCTCAAGTAAGTTATTCCTTGAACTCCTTGCCTATTCATGGAAACAGAGATGGGCAAAGGACATAGAATTTGGCCTTAATTCTTCACAACCTGGTCGTTTGGGTGCAATAAAGCCAACCTAAGTAATTTAATAAATGTAATAAATAATAACAGTAATGTTAGATGCACCACAGGTTAAGCCTGGTTGAAATCATCACCATTGGAGTCATGCCATTTATGGTGCCCTACTTACTAGGTCCTTGGCCAGCAACTAGGCTGGCTAGCAGGCCAATCTTGAATGGAGCGTAGGGTTGAAAGGGGTCTTACCTTCCCCCTACTGCTTCTTACTCATTTGTGGCTGCCACTACATAACATACCTGGGTGAGGCCGAAAGCTCAAGGCAGGTGTGTTGCCTTTTCTGGATAGTAGAGGAAACCTCAGGAATTATGTAGGCACCACAGCTTGTTTCCTTTCCATTTCGCCTGCCTCCTGAAACGAGACTGGTGCTATTAATGGCTACTAGCCCCAATGGCTATCTTCAGCCTCCACTATCGGAGGTAGTCACTAAGAATCACAGGTGGGGAGATGCTGCTGCTGCTCCTCCTCCTCTCAGGTCCTTCTTTTGGGCTTCCTATGGGCATCTGGTTGGCCACTATGAAAACAGGCCTGATCCAGCAGGCTCATCTTATCATAGAATCATAGAATGGTAGAGTTTGAAAGGACCATGAGAATCATCTAGTCCAACTCCCTGCAGTGCAGCAGTATTTTGCCCAACGTTGCCCAGCAACCCTGAGATTAAGAATCTCATGCTCTACTAACTGAGCTATCCCTCAGGGGATCCTATGGCTGTATGGACCCTTGGCCTGATCCAGCAGGCTCATCTTATGTTCTTAAGAGGGTATATTCAGGATCAAACCTGACATGTATTTACTCAATATGTATTTGCTGATTTACCTAAAAGATAAGGTTTGTGAGTGTGCATGGAAGGGAAGTGGAAACTGCCTATTTCAACTTCGCCTTCCTCTGCTCCTTTAAGCTGTTTCCCTCACCCTTCCAGAATCACTCGTTTCCAGTATCTGAGTGGGACTGTGGGGAAAAACAAATCTGAGAAACTGAAGGGCAATGGCAATTTTTTCTCTTGCAGAAATAGCCAGTGCCAGAAAGCGTGTGCACTCAGTTTTGAATGGGACAGAGGAAGCTGTAGGCTTCACCTTTTGTTGCAGTTCTGGTCTAGATGCCCTCCGCCGCAGTCTGCAATTTGTACGGTGGGGGGAGATCCCATTTGCTCCCGTGGAAGCTTCCTCCCCACCTTGTGGACCTGGTGAGGTGTGTGCATCTAGATCATGACTATAATGGGCAGCAAAGGGCTGAATCACAGAACTGCAGAATTGGAAGGGGCCCAAATAGTCAACTTCCATGTGTTCCAGTGTTCCAGGCCAAATTGGAGCTCCTTCTCAGGCTGTTTCTGCATAACAAACCCTGCCCTCAGGGCACATGGCTTGAATAACATCATGTGTAACTTGGCCTGTAGCAAAAATTGGTTGTAGGAACCAAGTCTTTGAGCCCATCTTTGTCGAATACCAATAGAAAATTCAAGAGCTGCTCAGTTATCTATGCAATGGGTGCATCCAGCTTCACTGAACTTTGTGAATGTGGAAGACTAGATTGAAAGGTCCATTGTGCCTTTCCAAATCAATATTTTTATTGTACAAGCATGGAAGTCGGAAAAGGGCATCCAATAGGTAGGCTAGCTGAAGTCCTCAAAGCTGTATGCTCAGTCCTCGTGTGTCTCCAGTCCCCTCAACTGCTTTCCTTTGCTCTCCTTGGCTAAGATATGAGGCAGAAAAGGCCCTGCGGCAAAGTGTGCAGGATGATGTTGAGAACATTCGCAAGGAACTCGACAACATGACAATCATCATAACAGACCTGGAAATGGAGATCGAAGCTCTCCGAGAAGATCACATCCTTAAGAAGAAGGAACACGAGGAGGTAGGGGAAATTTCCAGATCTGCTAAAATAAGGCCATAAGGTGACTTTCATGGATTTCATTTCACTCTTATTGCTTTTGAAGAAAACTAATCCCCAAATCAAATCCTCTTTGACTCATTCTCCACTTGAAAGCTGAGTTTTGGATGAGCCATATCATAATTATATTGAATTCAAATAGGAGATTGTGGGCTACATTAGCACTATCTGTTGAGTAGTGTGAGTGGAGCTTGTTTTGCACAAAGTTCACACACTTTATTTCCATTTTAAATTTTGGGCATGCATTTCTCTCTTTAAAATATTGATATCCCACCCCAAATACAGTAAAAATACAGTCAAGATATACCTAACGGTAAAGGGCCATTCCACCATAAAATGGCTAGAACAACAGGAAAAATACCTGTCCACTCATAGCGTTAACAACCGAATTCTTTGCGAAAATATAATTAGGGAAGAAGTGAGGTGGTCTTCTCTGGGCAGGGAATCCAATCTTTGACTGCAGCCATTAGAAATACGTTCTCTCCGTCAACTGTCTCAAAACAGTATATAGATTTAAAGGTGATAACCAATACTTCCATTGGGCCTGGAAGCCAACTGAGAACCAGTGAGGCTGTTTCAGCAACAGTAGAACATACTTCCAATATCCAGTTCCAGTTTATAGCCTAGCTGCTGTACTTTGAAGAAGCTGAAGTTTCCGTACACTCTTTCAAAGGCAGCCCCACATAAAGCACATTTCAGTAGTGCAGACATTATGTGACCGAGGTACATTTTACCACAGCCAGATCTGTCCTTTCCAGGAATGGGTATCATGGGCACAACAGCCAGGAATTGATATCATGGGCACAACAGCCTACACTGGGTGAAAGCATCTCTGGCCAAGTCCAGAAGCCCTTTCAAACTACCTTAACCTACCTTATCCCTCTTCAGTAGAACACACACATATATAGATTGGCACAGCTATCCCATGGTCCATTGCTGAGATTACGACAGCACAAAGGATGTTGCATATTTCAGAAAGATTGCCTTAACCAGTACAGATCAGAGAGAAATTCACTTCAGTTTACATTTAAAGCTGAATTTGTTGCAGTCACACTTTCTGGAAGAGTATAAGAACCGAAACGCAGCCTTTGTGAATTTTGCAATGTAGTTCTCCAACCAAAAGAGCATTTGCAAAAATGAATGATGAAAGTGAACATAGAAAAATGCATTAAGAGAAGGTGCTTCACCCCCCTCACCAAAAAAAAAAGTACCTTAGTCAAAGCTACCAACAAAAAAAGTTTTTATTTGGAGAAATTTGCAATAAAATACTGATGAATCTTCATAAGTATTTTTTAAATAAATAAATAAATTTCAAATTACTGCAGAAACATGGAGAACTGAATTTAAGGTTGACAAAAATGAGGAAAACGAGAGACACAAAATTGACAGATCGTTCCATCCCTGCCAGCCAGCTTCAATGTCCCTTGAATGCTGGGATATTGCTTGTGAAAAGCTGTTAAGAGAACAGAATACAGAAATGCATACATATTTTCATGTGAATTTTTGAAATAAAAATGTTTGCAAAAGCGGGACAAACTGAACTAAATATTGGGGGGTGGGGAATGAGAAACTGAAATAGATTCGTCATTCCTTGCAGGTAGTAATATCTAATTTTTGCTACCATAGGTAAAACACAGCTATTGCAACCTTAAAGTGTTTCTAGTGGTAGTTCTGTAGAGTTATAACTATCAAAGGGGACACAGTTATATAAATGCAGAACATGATTAACCATCATGCATTAGTGTTCCATTGGCTGGTGTCATTTTATGCTCAGAAACCCCTTTCCAAAAATTTATTGCAGTTGTCCCCTGCAACCAAGCAATCAGCACAAAGCACCACAGTTTTCATGTGCTCTGAACACTGGCTGGTTTTAGCATCCTCCCCTTAGCTTCCCAAGGGCACTGTCACTATGTAAACCACAGAACGATATTGCAACGAAGGGAACTTTACCATACCAGTTTGGCTTGTTTAATAATTAGGTTGTTTACAGAGTAATTATGTGTTTTCATTCAGCTGCTCCTGCGGTAATTACACAGAACCTTTATAGCTTTTGCAGCAAGACTTAGCAAAGTACAGATACATTTTTGTGTGCGTAAAACTATTGATATTAGATGAAAAGAACAGTTTCAGGTTTTGAAGAAGAATTCTATCCCCCTTCCCCCCAAAAAATCAAGTTACCGTATTTTTCCGTGTATAACACATGCCCGTTTATAATATGCCCCCTATTTGGGGGGACTCAAATTTAAGAAAATGGGGGGGGGGAGAGATTGCCCTGCTCGCGGCAGCAACCAAGCTCCCGTCCCACGTCTGCACAACCCTGTATAGGACAACCCCCCATTTTTGATATTATTTTATCAGGAAAAAAACCTCATCTTATAGACGGAAAAGTACAGTATGCTTAAGTAAAGATCCAAGATTTTTAAAGAACTGTTCTTCAGGACTCAGTTTTTCTACAGTACGCCCCAGCCCTGGATTTCTTTTAAAAACAGAAGTCCACCTATCAGAAGATCATATACTTGCTATCTATATTCTGTCTCCTATTTTAAAGAAGCCCTCCAGATTTTCTTGCACAAACACTTTCCCAGTGGCAGAGAACATTATTGCTACAAGACCACTGGACCATCTCAGGCATCTCCAGTTACTAGGCAAATTTGATTGTCATATATCGGATTAATAAGGCAAGATAGGAGCAACCAGTAGCTTTGGATATTAAGCCAGAGTTTAAAGATGTCTTATTATCTTGGCTGGTTCTGAAGTTGTGAATCACAGTTTCCAGTTTGGGGTGAAACAGGAAACTATACTTAATGAAAGACTTCGCTATAGTTGATTCCCTTATGCACACAAAGGGGCTTAGTGCTTGACCATAAACTTAGATAGGATCGCCTGGACTTGCCCAGTCCATACATCGGCTGAGCCCAAAACCTCCATGTCATCCCCTCCCTTCAATACTTAGCCAAAAATATTTAAATTCTCTCTCTTGGGAACCAAGTCCTGCAGTCTGTCCTCCACATTGCTTAATTTGTTCTTATGCAAAAAAAGTGGGCTGCCGAGGCACAGGAATTTTGATCTGCGGGGCAACCTCTGTGCCTTACTTCTGCACTTCTTTGCTGGTTAAAGATTAAGACCGACAGGGAAACAATTGTCTGTGGTGAGCTAGCTTTAAGAGGAAGAAACAGTCAACAAGTTGGCATGTGTTTCCATTGTTTTGATATTTTGATCTGAAGTTGCCGGGAGACCTCTGTTAAAGGGCGGGATGTCAGTTCTGAAAAGAAACAATAACCAGCAAGCAAACACCTAAAATCACCAATTGTACAGATTCTCCAGGAACAAGCACATGCACGCACCTATAACAAATTAAATTACATCAGTGTAAATTTTCTGCGGAAGAAATAAAGCAAGCCTAGAGAAGCTGTGGCTCTCCATATGTTTTAGAACTACAATTCCCAGCTCTCCTGAGCACTGGCCATGCTGTCTGGGACTGATGGGAATTGGAGTTCAGGAACCTCTGATGAACCACCTGTTCCCCGTCTCTGGAATAAGTGGGAATAGGATACAGGTGGAGTATTTTTTTATGACAGCTAGGAGGGGAGAATCAAGATAACAAGGGAGCTTTCTCACACTCAGGCCCTGACCCAATTTTCTCTTCCCTTGGAGCACAGCTAAGTCAGCTCCTGTTGAAAAGACAAATATGGGGAAATCTCATCTGCTTCTAATGAGGTTTAGGGATCCTGTTCTACCAGCACTGGTCTCCCTGGGCTAGAGACAATTGCTGAGACCTCTCCCCGGGCTAAGATTCTGGGTTTTCTTAATTACTTTTTAATGGATGGGCATTGGAGCCAGAGATACAGGTGTAAGCTGTGCTGAACCACCTGAGCTCCACCTCACCTTGTTCTCCTTTGTCATCTCAGCTGTTTATTTGCCAACCAACAATGGCAACTCCTCTAAACTTTGTCTCAATTAACTGTACATGATCATCCGTCCTGGAAGCTGCTGCGCCTCTCTTAGGCCACGTACTGGGGACAGTGCACTGTTGGCAATGGGACCACCGGGAAGGATACAGGCCCATCACTCCAATTTTGAGAGCTCGCCTTTGTTACTATTTCCTCCTTCCCTTGAACTGCACCCCAACATGTTCAGTGTGGATATAAGTAGAAGATTATGCAAATTCATGGAAAGCAGGGGGGTGGGAGCAGCAGATCTGCTCAGTGGACCACTGGAATATCTTTTAGCATTTACAAAGCCCTCCCTCATAATGTTGGGTTGGATGCACATGGAAAAATCCATAAATGCCTGATAGATCCATAAAGTCCCATCCCTCTCTTTTTTTTTTTAATAAATTTTTATTGGTTTTTCACATATAACATAACAACAAACAAGTCACAATACCAAAAACATACAAACATAAAAAAACATGTATAATTCCATAAACTTATTTTCATACACCTTGTTTCTTGGACTTCCCCATACCGCCCCTTTTTCTGCATCCTTATCTCAAATTTTTCCCAGCAACCCTTCAATCATCCAATCATTTGAATCGTTTCTTTTAGTTCCCTTTCTTAGCTTAGTAGTTACCGCTGTGGTTCTTTATTTCCCATTTCCCTGACATCCTAACATTCATCAATATTACAACATTTTTTAAGATATATCTTGAATTTCTTCCAATCTTCTCCCACCATCTCCTTCCCCTGGTCTCGGATTCTGCCAGTCATCTCGGCCAGTCCCATATAGTCTATCACCTTCGTCTGCCATTCTTCCAAAGTGGGTAATTCTTGTGTCTTCCAGTACTTTGCTAAGAGGATCCTTGCTGCTGTTGTAGCATACATAAAAAATGTCTTATCCTTCTTTGGCACCATTTGGCCCACCATTCCCAAGAGAAAAGCCTCTGGTTTCAAAGTCCCATCCCTCTCTCTCCCTCTAAAACTTTCTAAGAGAGCCAGGGAGGCCCCAATGAGCATGAGACTTGTGGGTTCCAGCCCTATCATTGGGCAGAAGATTCCTGCAATGCAGGGAGTTGGACAAGATGATGGTAGTGGTCCCATCCAGCTCTACAATTTTGTGATTCTCTGTGTTTTGGTGCAGACTCTTTGAAAGGCATGCCTGGACCATTTCCATTTCTGTTGGCCTTAGATTCTGCCCATGTCCCCTTGCTTTGCTCTTTCCAGCTCCAGCAGACCACATACAGTGTTTCCTCCTTGCCAGCTGTTTTGACAACTTCTGCTAATCCAAGGGGCTTCCCTTGTATGTTTTGCATTTTTGCCCCAAGAACCTGATTTGCAACTGGCAGCATCTCATTTCATCACCTTGTAATTTTCCAAGGTTGCTGCAGGTAGGCCTGCTCAGGGCTGACATGTATTCATTTCAGTGAACTGGAGGCACACCTGTAGCAGTTGCTGTCTCCAAAGGGAGAGCAACAAGAAAGGGCTGTTGCCTTCATGCACGGCTGGTGGGCTTCCTCGAGGCGTCAGGTTGGCCACAGTAAGAAATAGGATCTGATTAGGCTTTGGTCTCATCTAGCAGGAGTGTGCCCTATTTTATTCGGCAATCACATTCTTTAGAGACTTTCAGAGAAGGTGAAACTGCTTGGAGGAGAGACAAAGTTCAGATATGAGATTTGCAAACAGCAAGAGGGAAGGACAAGGAAGGACATCATCCTTAAAATAATTATCATCTCTCACCCAAAGAGAAGAGGGAGGACAGATTGGAATGTGGCCGTCCCATGGGCTCCTCTTGCTTCTGATGATGTCCTTTACGTTAACCTCCATCTTTAACCCTTCATGTGCAGGACATGCAAGCACACGGCGCTTCCAAGGACTTCAAGGTGAATGTGAAGGTGAATTCTGCTCCACAAGAAGATCTGGCCAGGATCCTGGCAGGGATAAGAGCGGATTATGAAGCCATTATTGAAAAGAACCGCCAAAGCCTTGATGCCTGGTTCCAGCAGCAGGTAAACTTTGACATGAGGGAGAATGGAGAAAGCCCTGTTGAACTACCCTGGACCCATATGTGTATTTTTAAGTGTTGTGAGCTAGGCATGACCACAAAATGGTTGCCATTTGGTGGGGGGGGGGGTATTCAATGTCCTTTTCTGTACACGTATGTATCTTTTGTGTTTGTGTGCTTTCTTCACACCAAGGGAAAATGTACAGAGAGAACAAGAAAACAACAGACACACACAGAGAAAGAGAAAAGCACAAAGAGAGACAACACACAACTCCCAAAAAATCCACTGCAGGAGGCTGGACTAGATAACCCTTGAGTCTCTCCCAACTCAATAGTTTTATGGTTCTGTAACTCAGCGGTGGAACAATTTCTGCACTGACTTGAATCGGAGGGGTGCCCGCACCTGTAAAAATGGCTGGGGAAGCTTTGTTTAAACAAAAGAGCTTTTGGAAAGGGTGAACTTCTAACCACCAGCCATTCTTGGAGTGGGACAGCTTCCCTCTCCATATGCAAGTCAACAGAGGCATTGCACCACAAAGTTACATAAGTGGCAAGAGCGCGGTCAGTGTGATGGCATGGCATGATGGGGTGGCACACCTTTGGGGATACTAAGGCTACAATTTGATACCTTCGCCACCCACAAATTAGGAACTGGCTTCAGGGTGCTACGAGGGCATGCTGGCTTAATCCTATTCCAGGAATTGACAGTGCCCCAGGGAGTTCTTCCATACCCATTGTCCCTGCAATTATGAATAAGCTGACTTCCAGGCAGGCAAAGTGCCTGCTTAGGTGTGAATAGTTAAGAAACGCCACCTCCCGATATGAGGTAATGCCGTTCACTGCTGCATTGGACGGCTTTGCTAGCACCCAAACCTCGAAGGACCAGCCACAAAGCTGATTTCCTCCCTACCTGGGCACATGCTGGCAAGTGAGGACATGCCAGCCTCTGCGCCTAATTGATGCCATCTCCAGAAGAGTTATTCTGGGGGGGTGTTTCCTGGGATGGGGGAGGTCACACAGCAATCTTCCAGGGGAAGGATGGTGAAACCCTAGAGTAGGATCTGATACCTTCTGGGGGGCACATGCAAATGGTCGGCAGGGCCAGAGGCGAAAGTGGGCGGGGCAACAAATCTCCATTCTACCTTTGTGCAGCAGGTGAGTTTCTACACTCACTCACAAATCCTTCCATCCCGGCAAACAAGAAACATTATTAGAGTTGAAGGACACATGCCAGTCAGGGCAAAACACTTTGCCCTGCAAAGTAGGCTGCAAAGCAGGGACAGTGAGGGCTGACCCCTCGAGGGAGGTTCCCGAGGGCCAGAAACAGGGCTGCATTCAGCCCCCAGGGCTGAGGTTCCCCACCCTGATGTAGGCAGGTCAGAGGAAGGATTCTCAGTGAGAGCTCACAGGATCCTGTAAGAAGGGTGTGATGTTCCAAGCAGGCTCAGGCGAGTCTGTTCATGGCAACAGGACAAACAAAAGACTTTTAAAAATATTTATATTTTATTGAACATTTTCAGTAGAGAGATGCAGTGGAAAAAAGTGGTGGGAAACTGAACACAAAACAAAACAAAATTAGGGGAAACTACTTGAAGCTGTGGTGCAATACAATATAAAGGTACATAAACAGTGTGGTTATCCTATCAGGTATAAACTTATTAACAAGTCATTATGCTTTTTTCTAAATGCATTCCAAATATCATTATATTTTTCCATGCACGATCTACCTATAAAAGCAATCAGTTTGTATGTTGCAAGAGTAGTCATATCTTCTTTCTATCTATCATTCAACGGGGGCCGTGGTATTATCTTTCCAACGTATCAATATCAGACTTTTAGCAGAAGTAAGGACGCAAAGAATCCATTTGCACTGACCCGCTGTCAAACCACATAATGTTGGTACAGTGGTGCCCCGCAAGACGAAATTAATTCGTTCCACAAGTTTTGTCGTCTAGCGAATTTTTCGTCTTGCGAATTATTATTTAGACAAAGGAAACAAAGTCGCGAGACGTTTTCGTCTTGCGAAGCAAGCCCATAGGGAAATTCGTCTTGCGAGGCAACTCGCAAACGGAAAAACCTTTCGTCTAGCGAGTTTTTTGTCTTGCGAGGCATTCGTCTTGCGAGGTACCACTGTATGTGGTTTAGGATAATATTATCGTCTGACAATTTTAATTCAACCCCCCCCCCAAAAAAAGTAGGCTTTGTAGATCTTAATACTTTCCTCCCACAATTTGTCAGCGTCGGACAATGCATAAACACACATGTTGTTGTAGACAGGCCCTTTCTGTGTAAGAGTAGCAGAGTCTCCAACAGCACAAACAAAATGTGTTGCTACTTTTTTTGTTCCACAGGTCGCTAGTGAGTCTATGGAAGATGCACCCAGCCAGGAAGAACTACAAAACAACCGGAAGGAGATCTCAGACCTGAACCGCACTCTGCAGAACCTGGAAATCGACCTGCAGACACAGCTGAACAAGGTAACGTAGCCAAAGATAGAGGAGGATGTAACAGACATGGTTCACGAGGATGAAGGTCATTACAGTAAGGGGTCCATAGCTCAGTGGCAGAGCGACTGCTTTGCCGACAGAAGGTCCCAGGTTCTGTTCCTGACATCTCCATGTCGGGCTAGAAGAGACCCTTGCCTGGAATGCTGGAGAGCTGCTGTCTGTCAGTTTAGGAAATATTGAGGTATGAAGGTCAGTATAAGGCAGCTTCCTAGGTTCTACATTCCAGCAGCCCTCAAGAACAAAGTTCTAGTTAGAGGGCCAACGTTGTTGTGAAGATGAAATGAGAAAGAGGAAAACCAGTTGAGTTCCTGGGGTGGGGAAAGGTAGGCTAAAAATGCAATAAACAAACAAATATTCCACACACAAGGAACAATATTTGGTACAAAGGGAGAGTAATTAAGCCATGGCACTACTGACATGAAAGTATGTAAAGGACAGGCTCATGCCTTAAACAAATTACATTCTTAATTTAGTTAGGCAGTAGGGAAGTGGAGGCAGAAAGAAGACAACAGATGATGGATAATCTAATTATTGCTCAACCTGACAACCATCTAATATGACTATAGGCATGTTAAAGATGTGAATCCTGCAATTTACAAATCCTCAAATAAATAACTGTAGTTCCTGGGGTTTCTCTTTAAATCAACACAAATATTTTACAGAAGATGATATCATTGGCTCCCCCACCCTTCTCTCTTTTTCAGAAATTCGCCATCGAAAACACCTTGGATGAAACCAAGTCTCGCTACGCCTTCCAGCTTCAGAGCATCCAACATGTCATCTCCAGATGTGAAGAAGAGCTCAGTCAGATCCGCAACGACCTCAGGTCTCAAAATAACCAATACAAGGTCCTCCTTGGAATCAAAACCCGCTTGGAGAAGGAGATTGCGACTTACCGCGAGCTTCTGGATGGAAAGATTGATGGGTGAGGGAAAGTTAATATTGAGTCAGGCAAAGGAAAGAAGAAATCTAGCGCTGGTATCTACATAGAATTGGTATGTTTTTATGCAGACAAAGTGCACGGCAGGAAAAAATACATTTATGTGGCACTCAGGGATGCTTTTAGATGGCAGGGGCACGAGTGGCGCTGTGGGTTAAACCACAGAGCCTAGGACTTGCCAATCAGAAGGTTGGCGGTTCGAATCGCCGCGACGGGGTGAGCTCCCGTTGCTCGGTCCCAGTTCCTGCCCACCTAGCAGTTCGAAAGCACATCAAGTGCAAGGAGAAAAATAGGTACCGCTCCGGCGGGAAGGTAAACGGTGTTTCCGTGCGCTGCTCTGGTTCGCCAGAAGCGGCTTAGTCATGCTGGCCACATGACCTGGAAGCTGTACACCGGCTCCCTCAACCAATAAAGCAAGATGAGCGCCGCAACCCCAGAGTCGGCCACGACTGGACCTAATGGTCAAGGGTCCCTTTACCTTTACTTAATCCCAATGCACTGGACATTACCCCTTCAGATGTGCAACTCTCTCTATGCATGATAGAAGGTAGCATATATGCAATTCCCTACTCAAAAGTTACAGAGGTTTTCAACCTTTTTGAGTCCATGGCTCCCTTGACTTTCTGTGGTACCCCTGTGGAGTTCAGGAGCCCAGTTATGTCACTCTTTGTCTGCAGAGCTGGCAGCCTCTCACTCTTTTTTGAACAGTCTCCCTTGTGGAGTGTTCCCTCAGCCTCCTTTCCCCTCTCCTTGGGAGTCCTCTGGGCAGCCTCCACAGCCATCCCTGGTCTCTGAGCCACCTCAGCTCCTGGCAACCAGCACCCCATGGCCAGCCCCAGAGACACCATTCGCCTGGGGAGCTTGTAGCCATGGCTGCTGCAACAAACATCTGTGCAAGCCTTTGGGAAGCAGAGATACAAGGGGGCATCAGAGGAAGAGAGGGAAGGAAAAAGGGACAGAGGCCAATGTTATCGGTGGCATCCCTAACCATCATTCAAGGCACTCCAGGGTGCCCAGGCACACTGGTTGAAAACCACCGCACTAGGCAATGCACATGTGACCATGTTTGCTTGGGTCACCTGTCTCCATACACACCTGCAGACTACATTTCCATATTCAAAAAGATAACCCTAGCTGAAACATAAATGATGGGAGATTTTAGCCCAAATGTGCCAGGGGAACTCCCCCCCCCCAGCCCTATTCTGCTGGAAGACAGGCTGGTGTCTGAAGGCAAATAAGCACAGCATGAGTCACTTTGAATCACTTGTTCCAGGTAGCAGAGTGCCCTTGTAAGGAACTTGGGGGAGCAACAGAGACACAATCAGAACTTTTCCAGAAACAGGATTTTATTGTGAAAGACTAACAAAATGACAACTTAAAAGTCCTAGACACAGGAAAGAGAGGGGGGCACCTGGCTGTGTACAGTGCCCATCCCCTAACACTAATTAAGAAATAGAAATAGGGTTGTATGAGAATTTGCATTGTGCATATTAATTTATGCTGCTTTTTTTGGTCATTTCGCAGAATGACGGGCTCCACTTCAAGCTCTAGAGGTAAAAGTCTTGATAATTGTTGGAAAAGTCCCAATATTCCTTATGTGTTTTGTTTATGTTTGCATCTGGGTGGATTTCCGTGGATAATTTCTATCTCAAAAACATGAGCGGCGTGCTCGTCCTCTAAATGAAGGGTGGGGGGGTGGGGGGTGCATGGCTGGGAAATTGTGTCCTGTACAAAGGTAAGGGTCACATCCATTGCTCCACCTACATCTGGCATGCAGCCACTGAATGAGGGTCACTTATGAGGGTCATTCCACATCCTTGCTGGATCCAGAGGTGAGCAACATCTGGCTGTGAATATGAGCTAGGTGTGTGGATGCTCCAGCTCACAGGAGTTGCATTCACAAAAGGCTTCTTGTTAAGCACTATACCCTACGTGAAGTAAGATTCAAAATGGCGCCAGCCCTGTGGAGCACCTGTCCATCAGATGTCAAACAGATAAACAACTCTATGACTTTTAGAAGATACCTGAAGGCAGCCCTGTATAGGGAAGTTTTTTTAATGTTTGGTTTTTTAATATTTTGTTGGAAGCTGCCCAGAGTGGCTGGGGCAACCTAGTCAGATGGGCAGACAAAACTATTATTATTATTATTATTATTATTATTATTATTATTAAATGTAAGTCCATTGTGAACAGACGTTTCGCTGTGGAGATTTAAAAGGAGTGAAGTGGAGGAAGATATATTCCCAGCCCCCCGGGCACCTCTTACATTTAATAAGATAAGCAGAACCCCACACCCCACAAGAGGTTTACAAAGTTCACCCACACTCCACGAAAGAGGCAGAAACAGAAACACCTCCTTCATGAGGAGCAAAGTTTTTCACAAAACTAGAGAGTGGGATCGCAACAGAGTGAAGGAAGAATAATTTCCTCAGAATTCAGCCTTCTGCTCTGCGTATGTCTTGGCTTGGTCACTGCCAAAATGTTTATGAGGTAAATGTCATGCTTACCTCAAGTTAAGGGAAACTTTTCCATCACAAGGGCCACATTCCCTGCTGGACAGCCTTCCAGGGGCCACATGACAGAGGCAAAGGTGGGCAAACCAAATGTTGCCTTCACACGGTAGGCTAGTTTCTATGCACATTGATTGGCCCTTCTCTGGCCTCTACTGAGGCATTGTCAGAGTTCAATGACACATTTCCAGTCAGGCCAAAACACTGGGAGGTGAAAAGCAGAGCCATTGAAAGGCATGGCCTGGGGAGACTTCTGAGAGCCAGATAAAGTGGCACGGAGGGCCGCATTCTGTCCCTGGGCTTGAGGTTCCTCGCCCCTACGTTCAATATCAGAAGGGCTGTCACATGGAAGATAGAGCAAGCCAGGACCTGAATCAATGGATTCAAACTGCAAGAAAGGAGATTCTGATGAAACATTAGAAGGCAGCTTCTGATGGTAAGAGCTGTTTGAGAATGGAATGGACTCCCTCAGAAAGTGCTGAGCTGTCTTTCATTTGAGGGTGGCTGGCCATCTGTCAGGGATTCTTGAGCTGTGATTCCTGTATTGCAGTAGGTTGAATTAGATGACCCTAGGTATATCTCCAGTTCTACAATTCTATGACTCTACATCATGTTCTCGTATTTTTCTAGTAAGCAAGGCATTCAGGAGCCTGTGCACCAATGTCAAATTTATAGGACGGTACTATAACAATGGAGGCGGGTGGCGCTGTGGGTTAAACCACAGAGCCTAGGGCTTGCCGATCAGAAGGTCGGCAGTTTGAATCCCCGCAATGGGGTGAGCTCCCGTTGCTCGGTCCCTGCTCCTGCCAACCTAGCAGTTCGAAAGCATGTCAAAGTGCAAATAGATAAATAGGTACCGCTCCGGTGGGAAGGTAAACAGCGTTTCTGTGTGCTGCTCTGGTTCGCCAAAAGGAGCTTAGTCATGCTAGTCACATGACCCGGAAGCTGTATGTCAGCTCCCTTGGCCAATAAAGCGAGATGAGCGCCGCAACCCCAGAGTCGGTCACAACTGGACCTAATGGTCAGGGGTCCCTTTACCTTTACTATAACAATTCTGATAGTTCAGTTGGGCAGTCCCTCAGTCCCAAACATCTTTATCTATATAACAGAGCATGCCTCGCTTCTTGCATAATAATGTATCCCCACGTTTGTTCCAGGATATGGATCTCCCAGCCAACATCTAACAAAAATCATTCAGGATAGTGTGGATGGACAAGTGGTTGCCACACATACTGGTGAAATCAAACGGCAAGCTTGAGGTCAGCACTTTGAAGAAAAGAAGCACTTACACGCAGGAAAGAAACCCCACAGAAGTCCAGCTTTCTAAGAGAAAGAACCTTGTTCTTCATTCACTGATATACTTTGGGAGCCTTGAATCTATTTCCCCGCCCCCTTTTGCCATTTACATGTTGTCACCCAAACCAATTCTAATTTTATTTAATATGAATGCAAATAGTTTGTCCTCTTCTCTTGGCTCCTACTTCTTTAAAGAGAACAATACAAATAAATTAAAAATGTCATGGAGTTATTCTTGTTCATAGCAGTTGAAGTTTAACCAATTGGAGAACAGGCTTTCAGATCCCAAAGGCTCTTAAATGCTGCACAATTCTGTATTTTAAACAGGTTGGTCTAGAGAAATACCACAATGCAAGCTATTCAGGAGTATAGGATTTGCATGAAAAGCCATGAGGGGATGGATCCAAAGTACCACAAGCAGGAAAATAGCTAATAGTTTTCCCCCACAAAACACTAGCACAGGGCTGGTTAACCCAGTGCTTTTTTCTGGGGGGACTCAGGGGTACACATACCCCTAAACATTTTGTGAATCTAAGTTTGGCCTCATTGAGGGGCAGTACTTCAATATGAGTAGGAAAATGAGAGTGCCCCTAAACATTTTTTTAGGGGGGAAAGCACTGGGTTAACCTATAGCCCTCAAGCTGTTGTTGGACTACAACTCCCATCATCCCTGACCAATGCTACAACTGATGAGAGATGGAGTCCAAAAACATCTGGAGGGTCATAGGCATGCCATTCCTGCAATGCTCTTCTATGTAAATTCCACAGCAGATTTCTTGGTCCCACATTGTGGGACTTGCATAGAGTTCTTGTGCAAGTAGAGGAACATCTTTGAATTTACTTATGGAACATTCCACCGCAAAGTGTATCTCAGCTTTTCCGGGCACAAAAGATATCCTCCAGCAGCTATTAGGAATTGTCTAAGAAAGCGCTTTGTCAAAAGTAATGTTTTCAAACAAACTCAAAGGCCAATAAAAGGGGGGAAAGTGAAAGCAGCTCTGGAGAGTTTATTCATCCCCCTGACTATATATGAAGTAGCTGCTGAAAACTAGCAGATTGTCCTAGATCAGGTGTGTGCAGTGGCTTAGCGTGGGTTGCCAGCACCCAAGGCCATGCAGAGGGGATGGGTGGAAGGGAGGGAAATTGACAAAGTACACATGCGCATTCAACTGCTTAATAGTGTCTGCATCACCCAGGAGATCACAGCTACCGAGGTAAGAAAAGAAGAGTCGTTCCGTTGTCTGGAGAGGTCACTTCCTGGTTTGCATGGAGCCCAGCAATGGAAGCATGCAGCTCTAATGAGGCAGCACTGGATGTTGAACATTTGCGCCGCCTAACAATTTTGCACCTGGGGCAACCACCCCTCTGGCCCCTCCCACGGTATGCCACTGGGTGTGTGGGAAACCTTTGGCCCTCCAGACGTTGCAGGACTCCAACTCCCATCAGCTCCAGCCAGAATGGCCAATGGCACTCATGGATGATGGGATCTGGAGTTGATCAGCAGCATATAGAAGGCACCATGTTGTGTAGGATTGCCTTTGATACAAGTGAAAAGAATTTTCAGCCCTACTTGAAATCTGCTGAAATTAGCAGATTGGAGAATTCAAGAGAGAACTTCCTTCTGTAAAATCTCACTCAGCACTATGGAAACACCCATTAAAAATGGCTTTTCTCATACAAGCTTTTTTTTAAGGGACTCGGCATCATGGTTTCAAAGTTGCTTTCAGCACTTTTGAGTGTTTACAGGTGCATGCCAAAAGCCAAATGCTACCCAATGCAAAGGAAGGATGTATTCAAGTGCCTTACAATGGACTGGATTAGTTGAGAACCAGTCCGGGCAAGACTTTAATTATAGCCCCCGTGCCCTGAGTGCGGGTGAGGACAGATAAATTAAAACTCTTGCGGCCCTCAGCCTGATGAACAGGAAATGGAGCTTTCAACCTTTTGAAAAGGTTCCGTCCTTTGAAAAAGTTCAGAAAGATCACCCTTCCTTGCTTGTCCTTGCTTAATTACATGTCACTCAGCCGCGTAATTAGTGGGCTCCGGGCCTGGAAGGAAACGAAAGGCAAGCAATGAAGTAATTAACCATAAGGGTCCTTTGTTCATGCACTGCATAAATTTACACAGCACCTCCCCAAGCCAATGGTCTTTCGCCTTGCAGCAATATAACAATGTGGGACGTTCCCAAAGGAAAACAACAATAAGTTGAAAATGTAAGCCAACGAAAAGCCAATCTGTTTAAACTAGCACAGGGAACACCATAGATAAACATGAGAACTGACCTGGTCCCTGCCCAGGCCGATCAAAATAATAATAATAATAAATAAAGGCTTTTTGGCATCCTTCCAGGTGAAGCACCTGGCCCAGCATGTTTTATGGGAGAGAGCTTTCCACGGGTGAGGTGCCCTGCCCCTGGCAGAGAGGCTGATCTAACTTCATACCAGGGTTCCTTCTGCCTGATGTTCTGAATGCTCAGGGAGACTCACTGGGGAGGATACTGGACCTGCCAAAACTGTACACATAGTACACGATTGCATTAAGTTATAGATCAGACAACTCAGCGGAAGGGCCGTGGCTCAGCAGTAGAGCATCCGCTTTGAATGTGAAAGTTCGCAGGTTCAATCCCCGGTATCTGCAGGCAGGGCTGGGGGAAGACGCCCTTGCGAAAACTCTGGAGAGCCAGCGCCATCAGTACAGATAGGACTGTGCTATTTGGGCCGACAGTCTGACTCAGCATAAGGTTGCCTCCGATGGGATCTGCAACAAAAAGTTGTGGTGTGGAATGCTGCTGTTCAGGATTCCGGACGCTCCATTCCATTCCCTCTCCTTCCTCCCCTTGCTTTTGGTCCATTCCTCCCACGGCCAGTCGGCTGGGCAGGTTCAATCCTTGATGCGCTGTTTTAGCTTTAAGATTGTTGGTACTTCTGCAAACCTTGGCATTCGCCCTGTCCTGCTAATACCTCCTTACTGTGCTCAACGTAGCACCGTGTTGATTACATGAGCAACAGAACGTACAGAGGGAACAATCAGTCTCTTAAGAAATAAAATCATGGCATAGCTGGAGAGCAATGCCTCCTGCACCCACCCTGCCTGGCTGAGCAAAACCTACCCCACCTTGAAAGGGAGTTCACATCCACAGATCCACAGATCCCAGAACCCATCTCTCCTCTTCTATCTCTGCCTACCACCTAGCTCCAGCACTAAGCTCACATCTGCACCATACATTTAAAGTACATGGGTCCCCCGCAAAGAATCCTGGGAACTGTAGTTTGACTCTCACAGAGCTACAATCCCCAGCAGCCTCAGCAAACTACAGTTCCCAGGATTCTTCCGGGGAAGTTGGGTGCTTTAAATGTATGGCGTGGGTGTGGCCTAAGCCTATTTACAAGAGGAGTTGTGGGAAGATGGGCATGATCTGTGGGGAGATGGGCAGGAAAATAGCCCGGTTTCACTAGGCAGGCTTGCATGAAAATGTCATTTTACTTCCTTCTGCGATGTGAAGTCATGCAAATGCTCCCTGGTAGTCTGAGAGGGAGTGCCAGCGTTCAATGGATTCCTATGTTTCGGTTGCCCATAAAGGGCTGTATACAAAATCTACTTCCATGAGCCACATCTTTCTCTGGGCAAGTCAAGACCAGTTCATGACCACAACCCAAGAGATTCCAAAAGACCTTGAGTGGATTACCTAATGCTTTCTGAGTAGAACGGGTAATACTAGGTAGACAACTCTAAGCTAACTGACGTATTCTTTCAGCTTTATACCCAACGTAAGCCCAACCAGCTAGAACATGGGCATGGCTGTCTAATACTCTAACATTATTTACAAACTTGGACCATTCTATTCAATCATCTCAAAAGATGTAGGAGTGGTGGAGAAGATGTGCAGAAAGAGCAAGCAAAGTTCAGCTTGTGGCCCTCCAGATGTTGTTGGACTCCAGGTCCCATCATCCTCAACCACTGTCCATGTTGGCTGTCCAACAGTTTCTGAAGAGCACCAGGTTCCACATGCCTGACCGACTGTACAAAGAAAGCCTTTAACCAGGTGTGACAAACCAGGTGAACTGGTCACAAGCTGCATCCTAAGCAGATGCTCTCCCACTGAGCTACTGAGTCCCACCTTTGGGGACCAAGAAAAGATGCTGCTTGCTCCATTCCCTGGGAGACCCGTCTGTGTTGCTAGGAAACCACCAGGTGTTCCTTCTGCCTAGGCAGCCAAACAGGCCCCACAGGGACTCTCACACCGCTTCTCGGTTGGCCCTGGGAAGAAAGCGTGAGAAAGATTTATGAGAGGGTATCTAGGCTCAAATTAACAATTTCTCAACGTGCTACAGACTTGGCGTCGTCCTGGGTTGGCAACAGGTTCAGAGTGAAGAAAAGGCAGGAATCCTTCACAGGAACAAACCCATGGAACTCATTGCCCACAGGGCCTGCTGGGATAACTGGGGGCAAAGATGGCTTTGAAAAAAGACACTTAAAAATATAGGGAGGGTTGTTCTAATATCAGAGTGGATAGCTAGAAAACAGGCTATCTATATTCAGAGGAAGGATAACTTGAATTGACAGAACAGGTGGTAGTGTCATGTTTGTTTAAGCCTGAATTTTTTGAAGGGGAGAGATAAAGACGACTACTTTCTACCATCAGGTTTTAATGAGAACCTTATTTTCTTTTATGAAGTCATAGAATCTTCTCTCTGCAAGCTCCACTGACAGATGCCAAACTTTCACAGGCTACCCAGAGCTCTTTCATTATGCCAATTGAGAAAGAAGATCAAAGGTGTCCCTAATTAATTTTCACATGTGATGTTTTGCCTGCACAAAGCTCATTGCATTCTTAGAATACCCAGCTGTCAGATCATGGATTTTAAAACTCTTGGTCTCTTAACCAACAACTTCAGGAAATATGGAAATGAAAACACTTTCCTTTCTCCAATTCCAAGAAGAGGGATATTCAGCGAAGCTTGCTTGATGTTGTGTGGGTTTTTGTGTTTTTTTAAGGAAAGCATTCCCAGAGCTGGGATGCCTCTAGAAGAAGGCAAACAACAACCATCTCAAATGTAGATCCAGCGCAGAATCAGACTTCCAGGATTCAACAAGTTCTATGAATAGCAGGCTGCTTTGGTCAAATCCACCATTCAGTATAGTGTCTAAAAACTCTTTCTTAGACTCCATCTACACTTTTCATTTAAACCAGTATTATGCCACTGCATGCTGCCTTTAAATAATAATAATAAT